TTGTCCAGGTGGAAAAGTACAGCTTACCAGTGTTTTGTGCTCGTAAGCTGTACTGTTTAAGCTTAATCAATGTTAATAGTGTCTTTTTGCGATTAACACCTGTGTGCCATTGGTCTTATTATGTATACATTCCTTTGGTCTATGTAAGTATCTGCTTTCCGAGGGAAGAATAGTGTATGTCATATGTTTATAAATAAGAATTGCAATATGTGGATTTCTCAGTAACTTGACTTGGTAACTGTTAAGAATGAAGGGCAGTTTTGAGCACAAGGTAACTTGGTATCTTTCATTAAATTTACTTTGTAAGTAACTCCCCCCATGTACAGAAAGAAAGTAACAAAACCCATCCTTTAAGTTTCATTTTTAATTGTAGTCTTTATCTGGAAAATGTCTGAATATTTGAAAAAATCAGTTTTCATGTGTTGAATGCTAAAACTTCCAGTAAAGAGATTTGTCAGTCTATTTCTCCTGTTCTTCAGAGTTTCGAGTGAGTGTGAGACTGATGAGCCAGTAGAACAGATTTTGTACATATAGTTAAATTGACAGAAAAATAGTGGAAAATAATGAAACACAAAACATACCTGTACAGTACCAGGTGATGGCACTACTGAGCTATTTATCTCAGTTGCATCAGTTGGTATTTTGTAATTTAAAATGTATTAGAAATTGAGTTGTGGAAATGTACGTTCACAGTGTAAAATTAGTTTAATTCGGAAACTGAATTTGAAAAGATAGAAAGAAATTGAGATCAATTAGGAATTGCTGTTTGTGTTGATAATCACTTAATATTGATTTCCAATGCTCTGAAAGTTGTCTGGGGGGTCGGGGGGAAGACTTGACACTTCGAAGAACAAGGAAAGATGAGTAAAGGAAATCATCAGAACACTTATGAATAAGGGAAAAGGAGAAAGCCTCTAAAGTCAGCATAACTTACCGCTGGTTGAGGTAAACTCACCTCTTTTTTTCATGGGATGCTGGCAAGTTTGTTATCGATCCTTAGTTGCCCCAAGCTATCTTGAACCACTGAAGTTCATCTAGTGCAGGCACGTGCCCAGTGCTACTAGGAGGGTATGCCAGAATTTGAACCAGTGAGAAAAAAGGAAGAGTGATTTAGTTAGTCAAAATGATGTATGGCTTGAAGGTTTGGGCAAATTGCTGCAGTGCATCTTGTAGATGATGCACACTGCTGCCGTTGTGCATTGGTTGTAAAGAGAATGAATGTTAATGATGAATGAGATCCCAGTCAAGCAGGCTGCTTTGTCCTGAATGGTGTCAAGCTTCCTGGATGGTATATGGTGGTACACACTGCTGACATTCTGCATTAGTGGTGATGGAGGTGAATTTAGATAGTATACTGATCAAAAAACCTGTTTGTCTGAAATGGTGTTGAGTTTCTTGAGTATTATTGAAGCTTCATGCGTCCAAGTAAAGGGAAATTATTCCCCTTTGAGTCTTGTAGATAGTGGACTGACTTTGGGGTGACTGGATGTCAGCTAGTTGCAGTAGAATTCCCAACGTTTGGCCTATTTTTATAGCTGCCCTACGTATATGGCTGGTCTGGTTCAGTTTCTGATCAATGGTAGCTCACAGGATGTTAATAATGGGTAATAGTGATGATGATGCCATTGAATGTCAAGGTGAGCTTTTTCTTCTCCTTTCACAGAGATGGGTATTGGCAAGCACTTATCAGTCCAGGCCTGAATATTGTCCAGGTCTTGCTGCACATGAATATAGTCTGTTTAAGAATATGAGGAACCTTAACTAGTTGTTGCCCATTATGTAATCATCAGCGAAAATCTCCATTTCAGACTTTGGAAGGAAGAGCATTGATGAAGCAGTTGAAGATAGTACACTATCCTGATGAACTTCTGCAGAGATGATTGACCTCCAACAATTATGACCATCTTTCTCTGTGCTAGGCATGACAAGTAGAGACTTTTCCTCCTGATTCTCACTAACTTCAATTTGGCTAGGGCTCCTTGATGCTGCACTCGATCAAACTGTCTCCGTGTCTAGGGCAGTCACTTGCATCTCGCCTCTAGAGTTCAGCTCTTTTGACTATAAACAGTTGTTTGATAGTATAGAACTTGAGCATTGCTTTAAAAAAAGACATTTTTTGAAGCTTTTCATCTTGCATGCATCGGGACAATGCGTAAGAAATACTATTGTCAATGGAAAACAATATTTGTACTGTTTGAGTGGAAGATCCTGACAGGTTGGCAAGTAGTCTCTAATTGGTTGTGGTATTGCAACAAAATGTGTCTTCTGTCAATGATTGGAGCAAGGCTGTAATGAAGTCAGGATTCAAGTTGGCCTTGGTGGAGCCTGTACATTATTGCACAAGCTATTGTTGTGTACACATCATCACTTTTTATCAGTTTACCAATGAGTGAGAGTAGACTAAAGGGAGCGTAATTAGTTGGTATGAATTTGTCCTGCATTTTGTGGATAGGACAGAACCAAACCATTTCCACGTTGTTGGGTTATACTTGGGTACTAAAACAGCTTGGTTATGGGTGCTTCTAGTTCTGGAGTGCAAATCTTCAGTATAACTGCTGGATGTAGTTTGGTCTCATAAAACCTTTGATGTATGATTAACTCTTTACTTGTTATGTGAAATAATTGAACTGGTTGAAAATTGGCATTTGTTTTTCATTTTTCACTCAAGGGATGTGGTTGGTGTTTGAGCTGGCATTTATTGCCTGCCTTTAGTTGCCCTTCAGATGGTTGGGAGGTGCCTTCTCAAATCACTGCAGTCCATGTTTTGTAGGTAGACCCACAATGCCATTAGGTAGTGAATTTTAAGATTTTGACCCAGCAACACCTGAAGGAACAGTGAAAATTTCCAAATCAAGATCATGAATAGTTTGGAGGGGAACCTGCAGGTGGTGCTCTTCCCTTTATCTGCTATCCTTGTCCTTCTAGATGGTAGTAGTCATGCGTTGGAAGGTGCTGTCTTGGTGAATTTCTGTAGTGCACCTTTATAGGTGGTGGTACATGCTGCCGCAACTGAGTGTAGGTGATGAGGGGACTGACAGAACCAACCTGGGCATCACACTGCGTTGCTGCTGAGAACTAAAAACCAAAAGAACTGCGGATGCTGTAAATCAGGAACAAAAACAAAGTTGCTGGAAAAGCTCAGCAGGTCTGGCAGCATCTGTGAAGGAGAAAACAGAGTTAACGTTTCGGGTCCGGTGACCCTTTCTC